ACTTTTGGGTCAGGACAGGCCTCGAAAGCTCTCCCACTTAGACTCAGGTGGTCTCCTGACACAATCTTTGACTCTTTGAAGCCTGAAATTCTTCAAGCATAAGATAGATGCCCTGATATCTACTATAAAATATAGAGAAAAATACCTCAAAGTCTCTATAATGGCTATTCCCTTCAAGGGGGCAATAGGTTTATTAAAAACCGCAGTTGCTGGCATGGCTGGGAAAAACAACGGGAACTCTCAGGTCCTTGTCAGCTGCCTCCTGCCCTCCTCACCTTTTTCCTTTGTACTTCTCTAGGACTAGGTTCACTGGAGTCTCAAAACTGACTTTTAGTTCCAGTGGCTCCCTTATTTCACTAGTAGCTGCCATATTTAATGAAGGAAAAGATGCTCATCAAACTTTTTGGGAAAATATCAAAAGTTGGTTTTTCTTGCTCTAACTGCAGATTTCTCCATCTTGGCACTGTTGACATTTGAAGCCAGATAATTATTATTATTTATTTTTTATTTTTTTTATGTTTAATAGTCCGTTTTGCTTCTGAATAGGTATGTTAAAATAAAATCATGAGTCTTTTAACTTTTTTGTTTACCTTACTAGACACTGAGTTACTGTTTTTTAAAGGAAAGTGAATTATAATTCAGAAATAACTTTCTATTTTTGTTAATAACCTTAGAAAGGACGTAAAACAAATAATTCCAGAGTAATTTATAGAAAAAATAAAAATAATACTTCAATTGTTAGTATTCTCCCTAAAACTGTAGTTAGAAATTATAAAAGTAGGGAAGGGTCAGTCAATAGTATTGATTGAAAATGTAATGTTACATGCATCAGATGCATAAATCCATAACAAAGGCAAAGGGAGATGTCGTTACTATTTGAGATAAATTAATATATTTGAATATTTACCCACATAATTTCACTAACAATTCAAAAAAATTCACAGGACTTTTACATTTCCATTGTTTGTTTTACTGATTATAATAGCTCACAAAGTAGTATGTGTAACTTTCAAGAATAATTTAGTGATGCAATATTACCAAGCAAGAGGAGATGATCATTAAAAAAGCCAGATAATTATTTGTTATGGGGCTGTCCTGTGCGTCAGATGGCATTTGGCAGATTCCTTGGCCTCTACCCACTAGATGGCAGTGCGACAGCAAAAAGAACTCTAAGCATTGTCAAATATCCCCCAAGGGGCAAAATCACCCTGAATGAGAACAATTGCTCTAACTCAAAAGTTTTAAAGCCCTAATTCAAGTGACTGGAAGGTTGAGGCAGGAAGATCGCTTGAAGCCAGTAGTTCAAGACCAGCCTGAGCAACAGCAAGATCCTGCCTCTTAAAATAATTTAAATATTAGCTGGACATGGTGTCATGTGCCTGTAAATCCTAGCTACTAGGGAGACTGAGGCAAGAGGATCCCTTGAGCCTAGGAGTTAGAGGTTGTAGTGAACTATCATCATGCAGCCTAGGCAACAGAGTGAGACCCCGTCTGTAAAAGAAAAATTTGTGTGCTCTTAGTCTGAAACCTAAATGTTTTCTTCCTGGCTGAAATTTGATAAGAGAATACGAAGTAGACGGTGCCCTTCCAACACTTTGTGGAGCAGTTCTCTTCCTCTTATACCATCCAGCACAGTAGCAGCAGCCCTTACTGTAATTGCTTGTGTGTTTTTAATGAGGTAGGTGGCCAGACGCAAAAGTTTTCAAATTTCCTCTCCCTGCCAGTTATAGAATGGGTATTGCGAAGAAGAAGAGAGCTGGGCTTAGGTTGTCCAAGAAAATGCAATACTTTTATTTTGAGGAAAGGAAAAGTGATTAAGAGATTTATCTGGGGTTTTTTTTTTGTTTGTTTTTTTGTTTTTTGTTTTTTTTTTTTAGAGGAAGAAAGAGAGAAAGAAAGAAAAAGAATAGAAGAATAAAGGAAAGGAAGAAAGAGGAAGAGGAAGAGGGAGAGAGAACAGGGGTGTTGCTTTATTGCCTGGGCTAGAATGTAGTCTGAAAATGGGTATGCCTGTAATTGTGTTTAATAATAGAGACATAAAAAAAAAATGAGGGAAGAAAATAATTAACAAGCAGCCAACCAATATTTCATTTAAACCTGTAAATACGTGTGATGTAGTACTGATAAGAGTGTATATTTTGTGTATTTAAAGTGGAGAGTTCTATGAATGTTAATTAAGTCTACTTGTTCCAGATCTGAGTTCAAGTCCTGAATATCGATATTAACTTTCTGTCTCATTGATCTGTCTAATATTGATGTTAAAGTCTCCCACTATTATTGTGTGGGAGTCCAAGTCTCTTTATAAATTTTATAAATCTGGGTATTTCTTTGTTGGGTGCATACATATTTAGGATCCTCAGCTCTTCTTGTTACATTGAGCCTTCTATCTTTATGCAACATCCCTCTTTGCCTCTCTTGATCCTTGTTGCTTCGAAGTCTATTTTGTCAGCAAAAATTGCAACTCCTGCTTTCTATTTATTTATTTTTGCTCTCCATTTGGTTGGTAAATTTTTCTCCATCCCTTTGTTTTGAGTCTTTGTGTATCGTTGCATGTGAGATGGATCAGGATGTAGCATACCAATGGGTCTTGGCTTTTTTTTGCCTGTCTGTGTCTTTGGATTGAGGGACCCAGTCGACCTAAATTTAGAATCAATAACAATATATGTGTGTTTGATGCTGTCATTTAATGCTAGCTGGCTGTTTTGCCCATTAGTTGATGCAATTTCTTAATTATGTTGATGTTCTTTATTTTTAGGTATTTTTTAGACAGGCTGATACTGGTTGTTCCTTTCCATCTGTAGTGGTTCTTTCAGAAGCTCTTGTAAAGCAGGCCTGGTGGTGATGAAATCTCTGAGTGCTTGCTTGTTCACAAAAGATTTTATTTTTCCTTCGCTTATGAAGCTTAGCTTGGCTGGATGTGAAATTCTGGGTTGAAAGTTCTTTTCTTTAAGGATGTTGAATATTGGCCCCCACTCTCCTCTGTCTTGTAGGGCTTCTGCTGAGAGATCTGCTGTGAGTCTGATGGGCTTCCCTTTATGGGTAACCCGACCTTTCTCTCTGGCTGCCCTCAGCATTTTCTCTTTCATTTCAACCCTGGTGAATCTGGCGATTATGTGCCTTGAGGTTGGTCCTCTTGAGGAATATCTATGTGGTGTTCTCTGTATTACCTGGAGTTGAACATTGTCCTGCCTTGCTAGATTGGGAAAGTTTTCCTGAATAATATCCTGAAGCATATTTTCCAGCTTGGATTGATTCTCTTCGTCACATTCAGGCACACCCATCAAACGTAGACTAGGTCTCTTCACATAGTCCCATATTTCCTGGAGACTTTGCTCGTTCTTCTTTATCCTTTTTTCTCTAATCTTGTCTTTTTGTTTTATTTCATGAAGTTGGTCTTCGACCTCTGATATCTTTTCTTCTGCTTGATCAATTCGGCTGTTAAAACTTGTGCATAGTTCGCGAAGTTCTCGTGTTGTATTTTTCAGCTCCATTAATTCACTTATATTCCTCTCTAAATTGTGTGTTATTGTTAACATTTCGTCAAACCTTCTTTCAAAGTTCTTAGTTTCTTTGCATTGGGTTAGAACAAGTTCTTTTAATTCCCAGAAGTTTCTTATCTTCCACTTTTGAAAGTCTGCTTCTGCTAATGGAACACAGTCTTTCTCCATCAGGCCTTGTTCCGTTGCTGATGAGGAACTGTGATCCCTGTAGAGGGAGAGGCATTCTGATTTTGGGTATTCTCAGCCTTTTTAGGCTGGTTTCTTCCCTTCGTTATAAATTTATCCATCTGTGGTCTTTATAATTACCATCTTTATAGTTGGGTTTCTGAATGGACGTCCAACTTGTTGATTCCCGGCGCTAGAATCTGAGCAACCCACTGCTCCGGCCAAAACAGCGGCTTTAAGGTTGACGGTGCTTTTCTGACTCTGCACCAAGAACCGCTGCACCAAGGCAGCAGCAAAACCGCCTCGCCGGCCTCAAGAGTCGCGCTGGCGACACGTGGGGCTCCTCCACTGGGAATCTCCTGGTGCGTGAGCAACAAAAATTGATCTGAAAGTGTGGCATCCTTTCGTTCTCTGCTCTTTCAGTGGGAGCTACAATCCTGAGCTGCTAGTGATCAGCCATCTTGGATCTCTCTCCGATTAAGAGATTTATCTTTGTGTATACAGCTAGCAGTGGGACTATACAAAAACCTCTTTATTATGCCATCTTCAAGTGTGTAGAGGAAAGGAAAAGTACTTTATATACTGGATAGGCCTGTTGAAAAAGTGAAATATATCTAGGTAAATGAGGCAATAAAGGCATACGTCTGAGGCCAGGTGCAGTGGCTCACACCTGTGATCCCAGAGCTTTGGGAGGCTGAGGTGGGCTGATCGTTTGAGCTCAGGAATTCGAGACCAGCCTGGAAAACATGGTAAGACCCTGCCTCTATTTTAAAAATGCAAAAATTAGCCGGGCATGATGGTGCATGCCAGGAGTGCCAGCTACTGGGGAGGCTGGGAGCAAGGGGATGTGGTTAGAGGCTACAGTGAGCTGTGATTACACTCCAGCCTGGACAACAGAATGAGACCCTTTCTCAAATTAAAAAAAAAAAAAGTGTATGTCTGGGTTGCTGGGGCAGGAGGAGGAATCAGCATTTTTAGGGAAGCAAAATGATTCCATATGTTACCATATTGGCAAATACATGACCATTATACACTTGTCAAAACTCACAACACAATATAACTCAAAGAGTATATCCTAATGCAAACTACAGACTTCAGTTAATAATGTATTGGCTCATCAACTGTAATAATATATCACATCAATACAGATGTCACTGGGAGGGAAAACTGGAAAAGAGAAGGGGTGTACAGAACTCTGTACTTTCTGCTCAAATTTTCTGTAAATACAGAACTGCTCAAAACGAGAAAGTCTATTGTATTTAGAAGTACATATCTGGGAAAGTGGAGGGCAGAGAAAGAGGAATCATCTCTGTAAATGTTTGTAATGTAACATACCCTTCTTGTGTTAAATAATGCGAAATCAAAATAAGAAGATTTTTTCGTCGTGCTTCCGTCCTCATCTTGCACTGTGAACAAAAAGAAAAATTTAGGTAGGACCACAAGAAAAATAACACTGCTGTTGTAGCAACAAACCCTGAAAGGTAAATGTAACCTGTCAAAACCAAGCAGCATGACTTAAAGGCTGGAAAACAGTTCAAAGTCTCTAAGGATGTATAAAGTTGTTTTCCATTGCTATTTTCTTCTTAAAGCTGCCTTCTGAATTGTAAACTTAAGGGACAATTATTTGAATTAGGATTGCTCTTTACCACTTGGACTCCTTACTGCCAAGCTAGTTGGGCTTTTATTGCTTATAATCGTGAAGAAACAAACGTGCATCTACTACTATTGGGACCAGGTTAAGGAAAGTGATTAGAGAAAGATAATCAGCTGTGAGCCAGACATCAGCTGTGACAACATAGGCACTTACCTGCTACCATATTTTTAGTTCACTCAGAGCCCCACCCAGTCCCTACCGAATGCAGAGAGGAGTTCCCACAAACTATTCAGGGGTGACTGCACAGGCAAGCATTTAGAACAGCCACTGAGAATAGCAGAGGCCATAAAAGGACAACTCCTGTATAATAAGGTCCTTGTTCAAACTGGATGAATCTGTGCATTTATTCTCAGTGTTAATGTGCTACATTTAGGAATCTCGTATCTCAAATTGCCCTGAGATGTATTTACAAAATAGTCATGTTCAGTAATACTTCCCTTATTTGAAAATAACTTATCTATCCTTATCTAAGGAGAATACAGGTAAGAGCTAGACAAAAGCCGTAAAAGGTCTTTGTGTGGCCTAAATTACATCATAAAATCTAAGCACAAACACTTATATTTATGATACATATAAACACTTCAGGGGCTGGGCGTGGTGGCTCACACATGTAATCCCAGCTATCTGGGAGACCAAGGTGGATGGATCAATTGAGGTCAGGAGTTCAAGACCAGCCTGGCCAACATGGTAAAACCTCATCTCTACAAAAAATACAAAAATCAGCCAGTGGTGGTACCACACATCTGTAATCCCAGCTATTTGAGAGGCTGAGGCATGAGAATCACTTGAACCTGGAAGTCAGAGGTTGCAGTGAACCAAGATCTCGCCACTGCCCTCCAGCCTGGGTGACAGAGTGAGACTCTGTCTGAAAACAAAAAATTGAAATACAAACAAACCAAAACACACTTTTCAAGCATTCATGCTTGAAAATTAATGTTGTAATAAAATTAAAATTAATGTTGTAATAATGTAATAAAATTAAAACATGTATATAATTACTTGAAAATAAAATAATACTAAATTTTTTTCTAAGTTGCTTTTTGTTGTGGTAAAATATAAATAATATAAAATTTACAATTTTAACCAGTTTTTTCTTTTTTAGTTTTTTTTGAGACAGTGGTGTGATCAGTTCGTATGGCAGACTTGCACTCTCCAGGGTCAGGTGATCCTTCTGCCTCAGCCTCCCAAGTAGCTGGGACTACAGGTGCACACTATCACTTAGATAAAACTAATCCAGCTGATTTCTATATTTTTTTGTAGAGATGGGGTCTCACAATGTTGGCCAAACTGGTCTCAAACTCCTGGCCTCAAGCGATCTTCCTACCTTGGCCTTTCAAAGTGCTGGGATTACAGGTGTGAGCCACCACACCTGGCCCATTTTAATCTGTGTGTGTGTGTGTGTGTGTGTGTGTGTGTGTGTGTGTGTGTGTGTGAGACAAGCCTTGCTCTTGTTGCCCAGGCTGGAGTGCACTGGTGCGATCTCGGCTCACTGCAACCTCAGTCTCCCAGGTGCAAGCGATTCTCCTGCCTCAGTCTCTGAAGTAGCTGTGATTACAGGTGCCTGCCACTAAGCCCAGCTAATTTTTGTATTTTTAGTAGAGACAGGGTTTCGCCATTTTGGCCAGGCTGGTCTTGAACTCCTGACCTCAGGTGATCCACCTGCCTTGGCCTCCCAAAGTGCTGAGATTACAGATGTGAGCCACCATGCCTGGCCATCATTTTAACAACTTTTAAGTGTACAGTTCAGTGGCATTAAATACATTCTCATTGTTGTACAATCATCGCCACAATCCGTCTCCAGAAAGTTTTCATCTTCCCCAGTTGAAACTCCATTCCCATTAAAGAGGAACTCCACATCTCTCCTGCCCGCAGCCCCTGGCAACCACCTCTTTACTTTTCTGTCTGTGGCCCGGGATAGCTTTGAATGCAGCCCAACATAAATTCGTAAATTTTCTTAAAACATTATGATTTTTTTTTTATTTTTTAGCTCATCAGCTCTCATTAGTGTTAGTGTATTTTATGTGTGGCCCAAGGCAATTCTTCCACTGTGGCCCAGGGAGGACAAAAGATAGGACACCCTTGCCCTAGAGGAAACAACCTTAATTATTTTAGCTGTTTCTTCTGATATTTACTTTCATGTTTCTAAATAATTCATCATTGTTTCATGATAAGTGCGTTAAGCATTAACTATTCACTTCTGTTAAGGTAGATGAGAACTGAGCTGTCTTATATGCTATTTAAACTATCCTTCCTTACAGTTGGATCAATATTTAGTGATTACATTATTAGGACTAGGTAAAAATGGTTTACTGTGGAGCCAAAAATACCATGGTTACTTTTACATTTCCATACATTTTTTGAAATGAATAGCCATGCCATTTTTATTGGGTTACTTTTCAACATACCTGTTGTTAATAATCAAAACACTCACACATCTCATATCACTTCCCATGCCATCAAATACATCAAATTTTTTGTCCTTTCTACTCACTCATCTCTTGCTTCCCTCTTGGAGCCACTATCCTCCTGTTCTACTGCAGAGACTGACTCTTACACCTGCAATAGACGCTTTTTCTGGGATTTCCTTTTGACATTTTCCTGTATTGGATCCCCTAGAAACTGAGTCTTTCTCTTTTCTGGTCCCTCTCTTGTTTTGATAGCACACATTATCTTGATTAAAGGTGTATGGGATTTAAATGTTGAGAATTTGTATGCCTGAAAGTGTCTTTATTCTACTTTAAGCTTGATAGCTTAAAAAGGTATAACATTACCATTCTTATTCCTGATCCTTCACATGTAATGTAATTTTTCTTCCCAGGGAAGTTTTAGGATCTCATTTTTAACTCTAGGGTTCTAAAATTTCACAATTTATTTTTTTGGCTTGGGTCATTTTCAATTCACTGCCCTATTGTCAAGCTAGAAATTCTCATGTTCTCCTTTTTGGAAAACTTCTTTTATTATTTCTTTGGTAAATTATTTTCCTATTTTCTCTGGTTCATTTTCATAAATACATATTAATCGGATAAGGGATATTCTGGATTGACTTTTAAAGGTTTTTTCCAACAGTGTTCCATTCCTTTGTCTCTTTTGTTCTATAATCTGGGCAATTTCCTTGGCCTTATTTTTGAGCAGAATTTATTTAGATAATAACATTTTTAATTTCCAGGAGATTCTTCTTATTCTCTGATTCTTCTTTCATAGCATCTTATTCTTGTTTTTTAGCATATTCTCTTATCTTATGATTTAAAGTCATAACAAAGAGGTTCAGTTATGTTCAATATTTGCTGTGTAAGTAGGCAGGTAAAACAGTAAACTATTTTATAAACATGTCCATCCAAACGAATTCAAATAGAAAGCTTTGTGCTTAAGATGATAAGCCTTTATTCAGCTTGCTAGGAAACACAACACATAAGGCAACCTGTGTTTCAGACGAGATCGGGTGCGTTCAGGGTAGTATGGCCGTCGACAAGGCAACCTGTGTTTCAAAATGTTTGTAAAGGGAGCATACTAAGTACCATTTGTTTGACCGATTTTGCTCTCTGCCATTCAAAAACTAGTAGTTGCTTTGAATTTAGTCTGAAATAAGTAAAAGTCAGGACTCTCAGAAGTCCAAAAGAAAAAGAGATTTAAAAATATAATCCTTGAACTTATAAGGTAGATGACATAAAAAGTGATTCAGAATGAGAGAAATAGTTGCAAAGGTCACATTTGTTAAAGGACTGGTCTCCAAAATATACAAACACAGAAAAACCCTCTTAAAACTCAACACACACACACACACACAAATCCACTTAAAAATGGGCAAAACACGTGAACTGACACTTCACAGAAGAAGATGTACAGATGGCAACCAAGCATATGAAAAGATAACATTATATGTCATCAAGGAATGGCAAATTAAAACAACAATGAAATACCACTACACACTTACTGGGATGGTGAAAATTCAAAATACCAAATGCTGGTGAGGATGCAGAGCAACAGAAATTCATTGATTGCTGGTGGGATGCAAAACAGTACAAACACTTTGGAAGACACTTTGGCAGGTTTTTTAAAGTAAAGACTAACCATACTCTTACCCAGCAATTACTCTGACTAGCAATTGCACTCCTTGGTATTTACCCAAATGAATTGAAAACTTATGTTCACAGAGAAACTGGCACAGTGATGTTTATAGCAGCTTTATTCATAACTGCCAAAACTTAGAAGCAACCAAAATGTCATTCAGTAGGTGAGTGGATAAATAAACTGTGGTACATTCAGAAATGGAATATTATTCAGAGCTAAAAGAAATTAGCTATCAAGCCATGAAAGAACATGAAGGAAATTTAGATGCATATCACTAAGTGGAACGAGCCAATTGAAAAGCCTACATACTGTATGATTCCAAATATATAACATTCTGGAAAATGCAAATCTATGGAGACGGTAAAAGGATCAGTTATCGCCAGGGGTTGGGGGGAGGAAGGGATGAACAGGTAGAACACAAGATTTCTAGGGCAATGAAACCACTCTATATGATATTACTATAGTGAGAGATATGCATCATTATACATTTGTCCAAACCTACAGAATGTACGACAGCAAGTATAAACCCTCATGTAAAATGGACTTTGATTGACAATGATGTCAGTGTAGATTCTTCAATTTAACAACAACTTAATCACTGTAGTTTGGGATGTTGACAGTGGGGGAAGGTGAGCATGTGGAGAGGGGAGGTATGTGGGAATTCTCTAAACTTTGTTCAC